GAACTCTGAACAGCAGATTCTGAACGATCTATCATAGCTCAATATCGATAAAATTATCATGATTCCGATACTTGTGCAGTTCTGATGGAGGCTGTGAGTGAGAGTTCGCAGTTTTCCTACTACAAGCACGGAGTGACCAAAAACATCGATACCGCCAACGTACGTGTAACCTCTGGACAGAAGCTGAACCAGAGAACTGCTTTTGGTTTTGTACTTACAATGTATTGCCTACAGGTAATTTTCGTGCTGGTGTCAGACATTGGCGTCGGAGAAATGGAGCAGGTCATGATTCAGTACGATACTCGGGATGAGATACCCACCGTTCAGCTGGAAAGGGTTGTCAAGTCAGCCTTAGATGATCAGTGGAAGCGACTGGACTTCGGCAAAATGATCGATCAGGTTCGACGTGCTCATTATCACCGTGTAGGTTAGCTCTTATCTGACATTATTGCTCGTGTATAGGTCATTCCGTTCCTGCCGTTCGAGCACCAGCATATCGTGGAGATCATTGCGCTCAAGCTACGGCAGTTGGACGAAAACTATCGTGGCAAGTACTGGCATCGACTGTGGATTGAGGTGCGTCCTCGACACCGTAATATTACAGTGTAGCATTACCTGCTTGCTAATGCTACATCATTTGCAGGACAACATCGCGGACTACATGTCTCGTTTGGACTCGGTGCACTACAAGGTCCGCTCCGCTGTGGTGAACGGTAAGGTCAAGTCTAGCAAGGTATTCGCTAAGTATGGCGCCCGCGACGTGGAGACTGGCCCTATTCAACTGCTCAAGTCGAAATTGCTGCGCTACTTACGCCCTTTCAATCCGGATGCTGAGATTCGGATATCGCAGGATGTGGACACCAAGGAGATCTCCATCGTGTCGTGTGCTAAAGAAGAGGCCAAGCAGAAGAAGAGGACCAAGTCTAAACAGCGCAGCCACACTGCAGCAGACATTGACGACGAGTTCGTGAGCATCGGCTGCGTCACAAAATGGTCCGGTCGGTTCGAATAACCGGTATATCGGTCTGAATATATTTTCCACCAATTATATGTTCTCATTTGTTTGTTTTCAACCAATTAGTGACCAGTATAGCTCCGCCTCAAATACGTGCTCTCAAACAGCGGTGGACCATTGGGGCGATGGTCTACCCATTACAAGTTCTACTGTAGCAATCGTGCACGGCAG